TAACCCCATTTCTTTGCTGCTTTTATAGCAGAACTTCTGGAAAGTTGCCTGTCGCTGCATCCTCACTTCCCATTCCATGTTGACCTCACTTCAGGCGACTTCTCTTCCCACCTCACCATCTAAACCATATTTGTCAAGGTCAATAACTGAACCTGTTAGTGGTGCCAGTGCTCAATGGCCGGTGCTCATTTTAGTTCTCATCTGTATCATTTGACAGAGATGATGATTCCATCCTTCTTAAAACACTTTTTGTCATTTGCTTCCAAGACTCCACAGTCTCCGGAGCTTTCCTCCTACCTAACCCCATTTCTTTGCTGCTTTTATAGCAGAACTTCTGGAAAGTTGCCTGTCGCTGCATCCTCACTTCCCATTCCATGTTGACCTCACTTCAGGCGACTTCTCTTCCCACCTCACCATCTAAACCATATTTGTCAAGGTCAATAACTGAACCTGTTAGTGGTGCCAGTGCTCAATGGCCGGTGCTCATTTTAGTTCTCATCTGTATCATTTGACAGAGATGATGATTCCATCCTTCTTAAAACACTTTTTGTCATTTGCTTCCAAGACTCCACAGTCTCCGGAGCTTTCCTCCTACCTTGATTTTTCCCCTCTTCAATGTCTAGCTCCTTTTCTGATGTTTAGGCATTGCAAGGCCCTAGGCCTCAGTACTCTCACCTGTTCACAATTTGTACTCACTCCCTTCTAAGCGACCACAACCATTCCCAAGCTTTAAATGCCATTTACATGCCGATTCCTCCCCAATGTTCATCTTTAACTTACACTTCCCCTCAAACTCCAGCTGCCTGTTCCCTGTCTCCACTGGATATCTGGTGGGTCTCTCAAAGTGATCATGTTCAGATCAACTTCATGATCCCGTACTTCCTGCTCTCCACTGTTCCACCCTAGTGTGGTAAGTGGTAACACTATTCACCCAGAATCTCAGAAGCAATCTTGACTTCTTTCTTTCCCTTACCTTATGCCCATCCAGTCCATCAACACATTTCGCCGCTACTTGAAAATCTGTCCAGAATCTGACTACTTCTTACTACTTCCATTTCTGCCACTCTAATCCAAGACACCATCATCCCTCACCTGGAATTCCTTCCTTATTTTATTCTGGTCTCTGCTGAAATGTCCCTTCCCTGACTATCTAAAATGGTACCCTTGTTAGTTACTCTTTGTCCTCTTAACCCTGCCTGATTTTTCTTGGTAGCACTTATCCCTATTTGAGATCATTGTCCATCCTTTTAATATCTTGCTGATTTTTTTATAAGCACTTATCATTATCTATGGTCATATTATATAATTCTTATTAAAAAATTTTTTTTAAGATTTTATTTGTTCGTTTGACACAGAGAGAGATCACAAGTAGGCAGAGAGGCAGGCAGAGAGGGAGGGGGAAACAGCTCCCTGCTGAGCAGAGAGCCCCATGTGGGGCTCGATCCCAGGACCCTGGGATCATGACATGAGCCGAAGGCAGAGGCTTAACCCACTGAGCCACCCAGGCGCCCCTATAATTCTTCCTTTTTAAAATTTTCTGCCTCTTCCACTAGAATGAAAACTTCATCAGGGCAGGGTCTCTGCTTTGTCCTTTGCTGAATCCCCAGCACTGTGTTTGAACTGCGGTTGGTACCCAGAGAGCCCTCGAATCCTTGTTGTATAAATGAGTTCTCTTTTAATCACCTAGAATTGAGTGAATTCTTGTTCTCCCTTTTAGTAAATGTGTGGCAAGTCTCTTGCCTTTTGTAAGCTTCAATTCCCTCATTTCTAAACTAGGAATACAAAGTGTCTACTCCAGCAGGTCATTGTGAAGATTAATGAATGTGCAGGCTGCCTGGTGCCAACTCTCCCGCCCCTTCCTCCATTAATTTCAAATGACTGTGATCACTTGACTTCTCTGTGACCCTTTAGGTACTTCATTTGCATTCTGTCAATTTCCATCTGCTTTTTATTTGCACCTTGTTTATTTCCTGTATGTTTTCATCATTTGCAGATTGACACTACTCCAGCTGGTTTGGGTCATTTGCCTGTCTCATGTAGCATAGCACTGACCCTCTCTCTTTTTTTCTAAGCACTTAACCACTTTTCCCAATGCCTTCCTCGTAGGCGGTTCCAGATGCTTGACTGTCTCTTCTGATTCTCATGCATTAGAACACAAACCAAGTGTACCATGATTACAGAAACATAGTAAACTTGTCGTGCTGGGAAGGACTTTTGAGATACTGTCATCTACTTATCCTTCCAATAAGGAGTAAAAACAAAGCAAAACAAAAGGAAGTAATTTGCCAAAGATCACCAAGGTGGTAACGGAGCTCCAGACCTTCTGACACCAAGTCCTTTTCAGTTGGGAAATTCAATAATAGGCTTCCATAAGCATTAGTAATTATAGTAAAACATCACAGTGCTAAGGGCCCCCACTGAACACTTGTGATTGCCCCAGGGTAGTTTTCAGTAGCTCTGGTGACGGAATCTTACTCCATTTCTTCAGACTGTCAGTTAGAGAAATTGCCCATGAGGCCCCGGGATCGCTCCCGCGTGATCGATGCCGCCAAACACGCCCACAAGTTTTGTAACACGGAGGACGAGGAGACCATGTATCTTCGGAGGTAAGAGGCTGATACTTGGATTTCCTTGTGTTTCGGTCTGTTTCTGAGGAATATAAGTACCCCAGCTAGTGCTAAACAGGTTGTTCTTAGGGCTCCAACACTTGGACATTTGTGTTAGCTCTCTAACTTCTGTTAATGTGGCAATACCTTCGCTGTGCTTCGTTGAAATGCTGTTGAGATGTCATTCTGTTGCCATTTGATAGCTGTAATTTGGGTTTTTTGCAAGTAGAATGAGCTCATTCGATCCGTGATGTCTTAGCATGCCGTGTCCCGGGCCCCGAGCAGGGAACTGGCTCTGTGGAGTTGAATGAGGTACTGCCCTTAGCACTGAAGAGCTCGCAGCTCAGTGCGGGAGGCCTGGCTACCTTCTGTGATACAGTGAAATGCCGGGGTGGTAAGCCAAAAGCTATGGGAAAGCAGATGGGAGCGGGTCATTCTGAATGGTGGTGAAAGGCACCAAACGATGATGGCATTTGTCTTTGGCCTTGAACTAGGATTTCACCAAGTTGATGAGGGGGCTGAGGAGCATCCCAGGTGGAGGGAATATGGAAGCATTGAAAGGAGCACTTATGGTATGCTTGGGAACTTCGAACGGTCCTTGGTGACTGTAGTCCACGTGACTTTACAGGAAGGGCTTCATGCATCCTGAGTTGGGGCCAGAGTGAATTGCTGAAGTAGACAAGTTTGGCCCTCACCTGCTGGCAAGAGCCATCTCTCTCTCTCTCTCTCTTTTTTTAAGATTTTATTTATTATTTGACAGAGACACAGCGAGGGAGGGAACACAAGCGGGGGCAGTGGGAGAGGGAGAAGCAGGCTCCCTGCTGAGCAGGGAACCCAGTGCGGGGCTCGATCCCAGGACCCTGGGATCATGACCTGAGCCGAAGACAGACCCCTAATGACTGAGCCTCCCAGGTGCCCCGAGCCATCTCTCTCTTTTAAGCAGGGGAGTGACATGGTTGGATCTGTTTGAGATTTGGGAGTCCTTGGCCGAGATAAGGAACTGAAACCTGGGAAGGGCTAACATTATATGGCGTGTGGAGCAAGAAGAGAGAGGACTGAAGATACCATCCTGGGGAGCATTGACATTTAAAAAGCAGACAAAACAGTTGGAACCTGGCCATGTGGAAAACGGGAGGAGAGAGTGTCAGGAAGTGTGGATGTCTGGGGAGGGTGGCCATCAACAGGTGCCTGAGGCCACAGAGAGGTCAGTTGTAGGGGATTAAAAAGTCCAGACGTTCCTTCACATACATTTCGTTTCCTCGGCTTCTGCTCTATGCCGGGGTCCTGTCCAGAAGCCTTTGAGATGCCAGTGGATTTATTTGCTAGGGCTGCCGTAACAGTACCAACAGCTGGGTGGCTTAAAGCAACAGAAACTGTCTCACATTTCTGGAGAGTAGAAGTCTGAAACGAGGCTGTTGGCAGAGCCACCGTGGTCTCTGGGAAGGTTTTAGGGGAGGATCCTTCCTTGGCCCTTCCCAGCTTCTGGTGGTTGCCGGCAGTCCTTGGCGTTTCTTGGCTGGCAGATGCAACACTTCAGTCTCTGTATCGTCACATGGCCTTCTCCCTGTGTCTCGGTCTCTGTTTTTCTTTTCTTTTTATAGGGACACCAGTCACATCGGATTAAGGGCACATTCTGCTCATCTACATGACCTCATTGTAACTAATTATATCTGCAACGACCCTCTTTCCAAATAAAGTCACATTCCGAGATTCCTGGAAGGATGTGACTTTTTTTTTTAAATATTTTTATTTATTTATTTGACAGAGATCACAAGTAAGCAGAGGAGATAGGCAGAGAGAGAGGAGGAAGCAGGCTCCCTTCTGAGCAGAGAGCCCGATGTGGGGCTCAATCCCAGGACCCCGGGACCATGACCTGAGCCGAAGGCAGAGGCTTTAACCCACTGAGCCACCCAGGTGCCGCAGGATGTGACTTTTTAATGGATACCATCCAACCCAGTACAACCAGTAAACAGGCAAAGTACCCTGCCTGTATGGAGCTTATATTCTAGGGCTGAGCTGGAGAAAGCAACAGGCTGACATCTTGCTATGTTAATTTAAGAAACCAAACTGTTGTCAGCCCACACTAACGAAAAGAAGTACCGCTAGGTGACATTCAGTAGCAAATGAGACCTCGAGCACCACTGTGCTTCTAGAGCACAGGCTTCTAGAGTTGTGCAGCTGAGCAGGAAATTGGTCATACACAAGATACAACTCGAGGCCAGTAATACAACCAGATTATAAAAATTGATGAAATTTACAAAGGAATGCCCTTTGGGTAGCACGGGGAGAATACCCCATTATGATGAATAGGACGGTTGACAAGATGCCCTATCTGAAGCTAATCCGTTGTCTTTTTCTCCCTCCATTAACCCTTGTTTAGTTTTCTGATGTTGAAAATTGCCAACTGAGGGGTGCCTGGGTGGCTCAGTCCATTAAGTGTCTGCTTTTAGCCCAGATCATGATCCTGGGGTTCTGGGATCAAGCCTCACATCCGGATCCCTGCTTAGCAGGGAGTCTGCTTCTCCCTTTCCTTCTGCCGCTCCCCCTGCTTGAGCTCACGTGCATTCTCTTTCCCTCTCTCAAATAAATAAATAAATAAATAAATAAATAAAATCTTTTAAAATAAGTAAAATCTTTTAAAATCTTTTATATGGGGGCGCCTGGGTGGCTCAGTGGGTTAAGCTTCTGCTTTCAGCTCAGGTCATGATCCCAGGGTCCTGGGATCAAGCCCCACATCTGGCTCTCCGCTCAGTGGGGAGCCTGCTTCCCCCTCTCTCTCTCTGCCTGCCTCTCTGCCTACTTGTGATCTATGTCTGTCAAATAAATAAATAAAATATTTAAAAAAAAATAAAATAAAATCTTTTATATGTATCTTTAAGATCACTAAGATTTATGATGTGTTTATTATATATATCATAGTTACATATGCTAATGTGTAATAGTATTTCTATATATTGAACGGTTGTGTATTACTCAGTTAATACAAAAATTGATCTAACAACACAGCAGGCCAGAGGCCCCCATGGCACTAAAAGGCAGACGCCCTCACCTCTAGGCCAGAAAACGGAGTGGCCTTAGTCTGAAATAGAAACCCCGGAATCCAACCAGCCTGGTCCTGGAAGCGAGCCAGCTTTGGGACCTCGCCCTAGGGCTGGGTATTGCTCAGGCTTGTGGCCTCTGGCCAGGTGACTGTGTAGGGGCAGAGAGTTCTCAGAGTTTACCAACAAGGCAGGGTAAACTCCCCCGCACCCCCCCCCCCGGTTGTTGTTCCTGTTCTAATCATGAGCATTCTGTCCAGTGGCCCACTCTAGTGTGCTCCCCTCCTGAGGGGAGGGGTGCATTTCCCTCCTTAGCCAGGGGTGTGTGCGAGCACCGGTTGCTGAACACATGCAGTCTGGCCACTCCCCATGTGCTCGGGAGCCCAGGGGTGTGTGGGGGGGTGCTCCTCGATTGAGCGTCCCACCGTTGATCTTGGCTCAGGTCTTGGTGTCAGGGCTGTGAGTTCGAGCCCCATGTTGGGCTCCACGTTTGGAGCCTACTTTATTTATTTATTTATTTTTTATCTTAAATTTTTTTTAAATTTAAAAAAATTTTTTTAAAGATTTTATTTATTTATTTGACAGACAGAGATCACAAGTAGGCAGAGAGGCAGGCAGAGGGAGAGGAGGAAGCAGGCTTCCCGTGGAGCAGAAAGTCCGATGTGGGGCTCGATCCCAGGACCCTGGGATCATGACCTGAGCCAAAGGCAGAGGCTTTAACCCACTGAGCCACCCAGGCGTCCCAGGTCAGCCCTATTTAATTTGGGAGGAGACTACACTGGGTGTCAATACCAGGGCGCAAGGATTATTGGGGGCCATCTTAGAGACTGCCACAACCAGGAAAAATGTTTTGTTTTTGGCCTTCCCTCCCTCACATAATCCTAGACCAGAGTCAATTAGTGCAGCTACCTAGTTCATATTAATCACTTCCTTATGCCAGTTCAGTATCTCGTCTCACTTCCATGAACTTTTTGAGAGCAAGAATCCTGCCTTGTACTTCCAAAACCCTTAGTACACTTTGCCTGATTGTTGGCACATGGTTAGAGTAGACGAATTGTTGCAAACTTGACAAAATCCTCTTTGGCACTGGTGTTTGAAAATTTCTCACCAAGAAATACACAGTCCCCTTTACTTAAAATCCTGTGTTTTCTGGGGTATCCTGGGTGGTTCAGTGGGTTAAGCCGCTGCCTTTGGCTCAGGTCATGATCCCAGGGTCCTGGGATTGAGCCCCACATTGGGCTCTCTGCTCAGCTGGGAGCCTAATCCCCCCCACCCCGCCTGCCTCTCTGCCTACTCGTGATCTCTGTCTGTCAAATGAATAAATAAAATCTTTTAAAAAAAAAGGAACCATAAATATTGTAGCTTTTGGTGTCTACCGTTCTTCATTTAGCATGTTTTCCAGGTACATCCACAATGTAGAATGACTCGGTACTTTATTCGTTCTTGTGGCTGAATGACATTCCATTGTAAGGACATACCACATGTCGTTTATCTGGTCATCAGTTGATGGGCATTTGGACTGTTTCCTTTTTAAAAAAATTTTTTTTTTTTACTATTATGGGTAATGTTGTAAACGTGTGGACATGTGTACAGGATTTTGTGTGAACATGTTTTTGGTTCTCACGGGTGTAGGCTTATGAATAGCTGGGTCATACATGTCGTGTACCTTGAGGTCATTTGTGTATCTTCTTTGGAGAAATGTCTGTTCAAATTCTTTGCTCATTTTTTAATTGGTGTATTTGTCTTTTTAATTGTTGGGTCATAGGAATTCATATATTATAGATGCTAACCCCCTAACAGATACATGATTTGCAAACATTTTCTCCCATTCTGTGGATTGCCTTTTCACTCTTTTTGGTGATACTTTTAGAAGCATAAAAGTTTTTAATTTAATCAAGTCCAGCTTATTTTTTTCTTTGCTTGTGCTATAGGAGTCTTAGCTAAGAAACCATTGCCTAATTCAAGGTCTTGAAGGTTTATGTCTACATTTTCTTCTAAGAGTTTTATAGTTTAATTCTTAGGTTTAAGCCTTTCATCCATTTTGAGTTAAAAAATTTTTTTTAGTTAATTTTTTTAGACAGTGTGAGATAAGTATGTAATAAATTCATCCTTGTACATGTGGATATCCAGTTGTCCTGGTACCAGTTATAGAAAGTCTGTTTTTTCTCCTTTGAATGGTCTTGGTACCCTTATCAAAAATCGGTTAGCGATATATGTATGGGTTTATTGGGACTCTCTGTTCCATTCCATTGATCTGTCTGTCTTTATGCCAGTACTACCCTGTCTTGATTATTGTGGCTTTTGTGGTTTTGAAATCAGAAAATGTGAGTCCTCCAACTTTGTTCTTTTTCAGGATTGTTTTGGCTATTCTAGATTCCTTGTAATTCCATGTGAATTTTAGGATCAGCTTGTCAATTTCTGCAAAAAGCCAGCTCGGATTTTGATAGGGATTGTTTTGAAGCTGTAGATTCGTTTAGGGAGTATTACTATCTTAATGTTAAGTCTTCAGTCCACGAACATGGAATGTCATTCCATTTACTTAGGTGTTCTTTAATTTCTTTCAGCAATGTTTTATAGTTTTCAGTGCACAAGTCTTGCACTTATTTTGTTAAATTTTTCCTAAGTATTTTATTCTTTTTAAGGTTTTATTATTTATTTGACAGAGACACAGAGAGAGAGGGAACACAAGCAGGGGGAGAGGGAGGGGGAGAAGCAGGCTCCCTTGGTGAGCAAGGAGCCCAATGGGGGGCTTGATCCCAGGACCTTGGGATCATGACCTGAGCTGAAGGCAGCCACTTGATGACTGAGACACCCAGGCACCCCAGTATTTTATTCTTTTTGATGCTATTATAACTGGAATTGTTTTCTTATCTTTATTTTTTATTGTTCATTTTTAGTATATAGGACTCCATTAGTTTTTATATGTTGATCATGTAACCTGCAGTCTTTCTAAACTTGTTTATTAGCTCTAATTGTATGTTTGTGTGTTCTTTAGGGTTTCTGTGTGTAAGATCATGTCATCTACAGATAGAGATGGTTTTACTTTTTCCCTTCCAATCTGGATGCTTTTTATTTCTTTTTCTTGCCAGTTGCCCTGGCTAGAACTTCTCCTACAGTGTTGAATAGAAGTGTTGAGAGTGTGTATCCTTGTCTTGTTCCTGATCCTAGGAGAAAAGCTTTCTGTCTTTCACCATTAAGTATGATATTAGTTTATGTAACTGTGGGTTTTTCATAGGTGCCCTTTATCAGGTGCAGAAAGTTCCCTTCTATGCCTAGTATATTAATAAGGGTTTTGAATTTTGTCAGCTGCTTTTCTTTTGTGTCTGTTGAGATGTTGAGATGATCATTTTTTCCCTCTTTTGTTCTATTACTATGGTGTCTTGGCTTTGATTAATTTTTTTATATGTTGCACCAGTCTTGTAGTCCTGGGATAAATTCTGCTTGGTCATGTTATATGATCTTTTTTCTATGCTCCTGGATTCAGTTTGCTAGTATTTTTTTGTTTTTTGAAGAGTTCTGCCTGTGTGTTTGTAAGCAATATTGATCTCTAGTTTGTTGTTGTTGTTGTACCTTTGTCTGGTTTTGGTATCAGGGTAATCCTGGCTTCATACGATGAGCTGGAAGGTGTTTCCTCCTCTTCTGAAAAGTTTGTGAAACTTTGGTATTAATTCTTTGAACTTTTAGTAGAATTCACCAGTGAAGCCACTCATCCCAGGCTTTTCTTTGTGCAGAGTGTTTTGATTACTAATTAAATCTCTTTACATGGAATAGTCTATTTAGATTTTCTGTTTCTTTTCCAGTGAGTTTTGGTAGTTTATCTTATTCTATTGTTCTAGGAGTTTGGCCATTTCATCTTGATTATCTCATTTGTTGCCATATGGTCATTCATAGGATAAGCTTACAAATCTTGTTCTGTCAGACCAGTAGTACTCTTGATTTTTTAAAATCCTACTAACATTAGACTATTTACAATTCCCTGAATATGCTGTGTTTTTGGTTTTGCACATAATATTCCCACTGCTTGAAATACTGCTTGCTATCAGGACCATTGGCTTTCAGCCACCTCCTCATGAAGCCTTCCATGACCGCCTCAGAGAGACTTGGTGCTCCCACCTCTACATTCCCATTATATGGTATACATTTCTCCATTTAAGAACTTACCTCCAGGGGCGCCTGGGTGGCTCAGTGGGTTAAAGCCTCTGCCTTCGGCTCAGGTCATGATCCCAGGGTCCTGGGATCGAGCCCCACATCAGGCTCTCTGCTCCACGGGGAGCCTGCTTCCTCCTCTCTCTCTGCCTGCCTCTCTGCCTACTTGTGATCTCTGTCTGTCAAATAAATAAATAAAATCTTTAAAAAAAAAAAAAAACTTACCTCCATGATAGTAATTTTCCTCACTAAACCAAATTCTTAAAGGAATTCTTTCAACCAGTGTTTTATTGCATGTCTATTTTGTTTCCAGTACTTTGCTCGGTTCTGGGGATAGAGTGGTCAGACAGGCATGGTCTCCGTTAATCTCTGATCTCATGGGCCTTACAGTCCAGTGGGATGACGGAAAAATAAAGTCATTATGATTCTGGGAGGTCCTGTGAATGAAACAAATGGCTCATACAAAGAATATCGTGAAAACTTCTTTGAAAAAGTGGCTGAGACCCCAAAAATGAGAATGGGAAAGCAGTGAGAAGAGCATTCTGGGGAGAGAGAAGTGTGTGTGTGAAAGGTCCGAGGTGGGAAAGCACTTGTTTGTTCAAAGAAGAGAGGTCTGTTGTGGCTGGTTCATGGTGAGGGAGGGAGGGCATCTGTGAAAGGAGATGGGCCCAGTTTTGTGCTCAGCTGGTGCCTGGGAGGCCATGGTAAGGAGGCTAGATTTTATTCTAGGTGTCTTAGGAAGCCACTCTTGCCTCTGTTTAAAGAATGATTTGGAGTGTAACAGCGGAAGCAGATTCTAGAATAGTAGTTAAAGTTTGTATGTTAGGTATGAATTTAGAACAGGGGAAGGCCTAACCAAATACCACACACATGCGCGCACTTGCTTTCGATTTGACTGCCCCCAAATCTCAAATTTCCACAGTCAAACTGGGGAAGAAATATTTATAAGGCCCATCAACATCTGCAAGTCTAGAAAATAAAAAGACAACTCAGTAGGCAAAAGATATGAACTGACAGTTCACCCAAAAAGAGAAAACACAAATGCCTATAAAATACACGAAAAGATGCCTCACCTTTGACTCTTTAAAAAAAGAAATGCAAATTATGAGAGCACAGTTTTCACGTGTCAGATTGACAGTTGTGCAATTTAATCACATCCTGTGTTGGTGAGACTGGAGAGAAACACAACTTCACATTGGTGGTAGGAACGTAGATTGGTTCAACTTCCCTAGAAAGTAATTTGGCAGTATTTCTCAGAATTTAAAGCGGATACTCTTCTAGGAATTTATCCAACAGGTAAAAGACTTTTCGGTTTATCCACACAAAGGAATACAGTGCAGCTCTTATGAAGAATGAGGCACCTCTTTGTCAATTGGTAAGGAAGGGTCCCCTATGAATTTTCTAACCAGGACACATTTTTTAGGCAAACAAATGAAGAACAAAGAAGTGTAAGGTATGCTGCGTTTGTCTAAAAAGGGAAAGAAATAAAATATATTTTCTTTATATGTCAATAAGGATTCCTTGCTTGAATCGTCAACTATCTCTGGGAGGAACAGAAGAAACCAGAAGCAATATTTGCCTCTGGGGAAGAGAACTGGGTGGGAGGGTATTTACTTTTCTTTATATTCTTACATATGCCATGTATGCATATGGCCTTTTAAAAAAATGGAAACAAACAAGGGGCAAGGAAGTGAGGAGACCAGTCCGGAAGCTAGGACAGTCGGCCAAGGAAGAGATGGTGGCCGGAAGGTGGAGCAAAGCAGACAGGTTCAAGATCTTTTTTTTGGAGAGAAAATCCTTAGGATTTGCTGATGGACTGGGTGTGGGCAGTAAGAGAAAGAGGAGTCAAGGATGAGTCCCAGGTTTGTGTTAAGCATCTTGGGTGGGTGGCAGAGTTGCTTACCTAAGGCGCTCTTGTGGGCTTGGTGGCCTGGGCTTGAATGTAGCCTATTCTGCTTCTGGACTCTGACCTGGGGCAAATCATGTGCTTAGGTTTGTGCCTTCATGTGGAAAATAGGAATGGTAATAGGAACTTGGGTTGCTGTAAGGCTTATATGGCTTCATACATACGTTCTTGAGCACTGCGTACATGTGGGTGCTGGTATTATTATTGTTGTTGTTGTTATCACCGTGACCCTGCCTGCTGCTGTGACTACAGCTCCTGCTGCTCATTTGTTCATACCATTTTTTTTTTACTTCCGTTTCCTGCACAGGCCTGAAGGCATTGAGCGACAGTACAGGAAGAAGTGTGCAAAGTACGTGTCTAACAGCGTGGGATTCTCCCAATCACACAAAAGCAAAGGCGGTAGTGTGTTCAGGAAGGAATTATGTGGATGCCATTCTCTATTATCTTTATCCTTGTAATCCCAACTGCCTTCGAACTTCAACTACACAAAAACCAATATGCTTCTCAGACTAGTCGAAGTCACATCTCTGACCAGCTGGCCACAGAAATTTTTTTTTAACATTGTATCATTTTTCTTTTTTTTTTTTAAGATTTTATTTATTTATTTGTTAGAGAGAGAGAGAGCGCATGAGCACAGGCAGACAGAGTGGTAGGCAGAGGCAGAGGGAGAAGCAGGCTCCCCGCTGAGCAAGGAGCCCGATGTGGGACTCGATCCCAGGACGCTGGGATCATGACCTGAGCCGAAGGCAGCCGCTTAACCAACTGAGCCACCCAGGTGTCCCTGTATCGTTTTTCTAAATAGAGATATAATTTACATATGATAAAATTTGTCTTTTTTAAAAAAAAGATTTTATTTGACGGAGAGAGAGACAGCGAGAGAGAGAACACAAGCAGGGGGAGTGGGAGAGGGAAAATCAGGCTTCTCGCTAAGCAGGGAGCCCAAATGGGGCTCCATCCCAGGACCCTGGGATCATGACCTGAGCCAAAGGCAGACACTTAGCTACTGAGCCACCCAGGCACCCCTGTCCTTTTTTTTTTCTCTTAACTAATCTCTGTGCCCACTGTGGGGCTTGAACTCACCACCCCAAGATCAACTTTTGCCTGCTCTCCTGACAGCCAGCCAGGTGCTCCCCAGATTTGCCTGTGTTAAGCATACAGTCTGAGAACTCATGACAGAAACATACCGTCCGCTAACACCACCCTGCCGCGATGCGGGCCATTCTCGGCCTCCTGTGCCCTTTGTAGTCAGTCCCCTTCTCTGTGTTCCCCCACTGGCAGCCGCTGAGCTGCCTTCTGTAGCTACAGTTTTGCCTTTTCTAAAAATGTTACCTACAGGTGCACCTGGGTGGCTCAGTGGGTTAAGCCTCTGCCTTCGGCTCAGTTCATGGTCTCAGGGTCCTGGGATCGAGCCCTGGTGAGTAGTGTCCATGGCTCCATTGTCCCTCTCCCCCTGTACGAGGGCATTTGAGTTGCTGATGGTTTTGACTGTCCTGCATAAAGCTGTTACGAACATTCTAGTATAAACCTTGGTGGGGACACGTGTTTTCTCTGGAGTGGAATTGCTGGCTCGTATGGTGAATGGAACATAACGTAACGTAATCCAGACTTACTTATAAAGCCTATTGGAGGGCCCGTAGACCCACAAGAGCGTTAGAGACTGTTCTGTAAAGCTATATCTACATGTCCAGCTTTTGGCCGTTAACAGTGAGAATACTAAACTACAGTATGTTCCATCTGGTTGATGGCACGACAGCTACACCTTGGCTCTCAGAAGACTCAGGCGAGGAGAATCAAGGCACGGAAATGGCTAAGAAGGCAATTTAGTTCCCAGCCACACTAGAGTTGTCAACTTCAGTTTGTGTCTTTTTTTTTTTTTTAAAGATCCGATTTTTAAGTAACGTCTGTACCCAACATGGGTCTCAAACTCACAACCCCAAGGTCAGGAGTCACACTCCACCAACTGAACCAGCCAGGCGGCCCCCCACCAGTTTATCATGTCTTATGAGTACTTCATGTAGCTGAAAAAGTAGAACAAAACTGACCAACCCAAGAAAGTATGATGATTACTTCCTAGAGCAGTTGGCCGGCCACTGCTGGGGAGCTTTACACCCCTTCTCGACACTACAAAAACCCAAACAAAACTAGACAAACCCCCCATGCTAGGTATCCAGACTTCTGGGAAGAATGGCAGCAGTTTTTTTTTTCCTAATGATATATCTATTTATTAGAGAGTGAGAAAGAGAGAGAGGGGAACCCAAGCGGTCTCCTCGCTGAGTGCGGAGCCTGGCGTGGGGCCCGATCCCACGACCCTGAGATCATGACCTGAGCTGAAACCAAGAATCAGTTGTACCACCCAGGTGCCCCAGCAGGTTTTATATATATATATATTTTTTTTTTTTTTTTTTTATATATATATATATATATATACATTTTTTTTTTTAGAAACTTGTATTTTAAAATTTTTATTTATTAAGTAATTTTTCCATCCAGCATGGGGCTCAAACTCACAACCTCGTGATCTGGAGTCACATGCTCTCCCAGCTGAGGCAGCCAGGCGCCCTGGAGTGGCAGTGGCTTTAACGGGAAAGCAAGCAGCAGCGGGCGCCGGCATTTCCCAAACTTGTCCAATGCTGAGAATCACCTGGGATGCTGAGGAAAGTGATAGATTCCCAGGCCTCAGCTTCCAGACTTGCTGAATGAGGATCTTTGGAAGGAGCGGGGAGTCTGAGCAGCAGCTGTAACAAATTCTTACTTGGTAAAGTGATTCCTCAGTGATTCTTAGGCAGCAGTTCTGGGAAACACCGGAAGGAGCGAATCCTTAGTTTATGCCACGAACGAAACTGTTCCCAGTGTCTGAGCGCGCTTTGTGAATCGGCGTTTTGGGGATTTGGATTCTGAGCTTCCCAGAGACTGACTCTGCTGTTTGCAGGTGTGGACTGCCCCTCTTCTATCAGTCCCAGCCCAAGAATGCCCCCGTGACTTTCATTGTGGATGGCGCAGTAGTCAAGTTCGGCCAGGGTTTTGGTAAAACGAATATCTACACTCAGAAGCAAGAGCCTCCTAAGAAGGTAATCACTGAAGGAGACCGACCGGTTCATATAGCTGCGAATCTCCGGATCGCCCTCCATCTTTCAATGAGTGTAATGAGAAAGTGCCCTTTTTGGACACATGCTTTATTAAGAGGATGCCATTTTTATGGGTGAGCAGATGTTAATGTAACATCTGTTATGTGTTCTTTTCTTCTTTCCTACGGCTGTCCCAGGAGTAAAGTTAGAAATTGTATGGTTTTGATTCATGATTTCCTTTGAAATCTCTTCCTTTTTCAGTGTGGACAGTTAAAGTGAAAGTTAAAAAGCCTTGATGGCAAATATTAGAAAAATAGAATCCAAATAGAAAAAAAAATCTACTGGCACTTTTAGATAGGCCAGCCTCTCCGTCCTCCCCCCCGCCAAACCGCCTCACCCTGCAGTCAGGTGTGTGCGTGGACACGCGTGCGCGACGTGCAGCTCACAGAGCCTCTTGCAGTGAACGAGACTGATTCCTCCTCCTGTGACTCCAGGTGATGATGACCAAACGGACCAAAGACATGGGCAAGTTCAGCTCCGTTACGGTGTCTACCATTGATGAAGAGGAAGAGGAGATTGAGGCTGTGAGTGCTTCTGCTCCCAAGGGAACTGGATTGGGGGGTGGGCCCGGAAGGACCTGGGACTCTAGAACCAGCCCATTCGAGTATCGGAATAATGAGAAATGTTGCTTCCAGGCCTTACTGTGTTAGTAAGAAACTAGAGGACCCCAGGCCCGTTCCTGTCTCTCTGGATCCCTAGGGCATCTGTAAAATGAGAACCAGGGAGTTGGACTGGATCAGTGGCATTTTCATACTGGTTTTGAGATGCTTTCAGGGGGCAAATCCCTCATCCCTCTTCATCCCTAAAACTTATCGGACTCTGCAGTTTGAGGTCCCGTCAGTCTGGCTCGAGTGGCTTGTGAGGCTCTCCTTAGCAGTACGAGCAATTACCTTTATGGTCCTTCAGTATAATGAGGTTTACAGAGAGATGTTATCTGTTGTTTTTCAAATGGTTTCGGCCGAAACCTGAGCTCTCCTGGATTATTGAACAGCTGACGAGTTTAAAGGGAACAGAGTCCGTTTCAGGAACAATTCTGAGATCCGAGGAGCAGGAATTGCTACTTACGGTCTCTGGGACTCACTGGTACTGCCGGGTCCCGGGTGCCGCTCTTCCTCCCGCAGAGAGAAGTCGCCGACTCGTATGCACAGAATGCCAAAGTGATCGAAAAGCAGCTGGAGCGCAAGGGCATGAGCAAACGGCGACTGCAGGAGCTGGTGAGTGCCCGGGCGGCAAGGGTTTCTTGGTCTGAGAGACCTTCCAGCGGTCGGGGAGATCCTGCAGGAAGTCTATGTGCCGGGTGTGGGGCACCGGGTAGCTGGTGGCCAGCTGTCTCACCCTGGCCCGTCACGGTCGGTGTACTCTGTCTAGCGACCACAGGCTCCAGGCCCCAAGTTAGAGTACTCGCCGGCCAGCCCTGACTGGGCCGGTACTTGAACCTGCTACCCAGGATTCATGAATGCGCACCTGGGTGGGGAGGGCGTACAGCTGTGCTACATTGGCTTCACTGGGATGGGGGCCTTGGGGCTCCCTAAAGCCCCGGGGCCGCCCCTACTTTCTGTGTGAGTCACAGACTCATGGCGCGTGCACGCTTGCATTTGATGGCGCCGTCAAGGTGGGTCTTCTTGATAACAATGTACTTTTGCTAGTTCTTTAAAATCGGCCATCCCTGTCTTGGTGCCTCATCGGAGGCTGTGGTGGTGCAGTCTGATGACCGGAGAGCTTCCTTTGGTGACAGGTGGTGGGTCTTGGGTGCGGCATTGCCCTGCCATCGTGGTCTAGAGCCGTGCCTATCCCATTTGCCTAGGGGAAGGACCGGGGCTTGCTTCTTTTTTTAAATCTCCAGTTTGTCAAGAACAGATTTATAATCTATAAAATGCCATAAAAATGCATTTGCCTCAAGTGCTCATGCTAAATTATTTGATTTTGTTATGACGCTGGCAAATTACTGTGCGAGGTTCTAGATGCTAACTCTTGATTTTTATACATATCTTGCATGAACCAACAACCGGCAGTTCACGGACCGTATGACATGAAGCAACACTGTTCCAGAATAGTGTTTCTCGTCTTATTCTGCCAGAAATGGGATACTGGTATATCATGGTATTGATTCCCTCAGCCCTTTGAAGGGCCTGGGGCTGTAGGAGCCCTGCGCTGATCACCTTTGACTGAAGCCTTTTACCACACAGACACCATCGTTTTCTATGTGTAGCATAATACCAGAAAGGTTGGAAAGCAGTTGATAGAGATACGTAACGATTTGCCAACCATTGTTCTACTTTCTATACTAAGTGAACACAAAAGGATAGTGTCTGGGCAGTTAGGAGAAGGAAGGAAAATAAGAATGTCATGGCATTGCTCAGGGCATATGCTTTTCTTCCTTTCTAGGCTGAACTGGAAGCCAAGAAAGCAAAGATGAAGGGGACCTTGATTGACAACCAGTTCAAGTGATCAGGACCTTCCTCTTAGCCCAGACCGGAAGTGGGCATTTAGACAAGGAGGAAAAAGAACTGTTTCTTGACTCCACAGACTGGTGGTCACCTTTTGGCCCCAGTGGAAGGCTTTCCATTACTTGCCATTGATTGTTCCTACATTCAGTGAGGGCTTTGAGTCCGTCTGACCTGCTTTCTAGAGATGGGTTTTCTAAATCTTTCTGTATATAGGTCTTCTGTACTATTTTTTGTGCATTTGATGTAAACTTCTTCAGCTGTGTGGAAAGTCTGAACACACCAGGGCTTGAGTGTCTCTTGTTTTGAAAGTAGCTCTTCTTAGTCCCTCTTCAAAGCTAATAAAATGTTTATAGATTTTTTAAAAAAGTACTATGATGTATCACAGAGAAAGTGGCATGGATTATATTTAAAGTTACAGCAATTATGATTCTTTTAAGTGACTATTCTTAGACGGGCAGGAATTGGCTATGGTTTGAACCTCTCTCCTGTCAGAAAGGAATCCGTGGAAAGCCAGAATGTCCATAAAGCTTCCTTTAGCTTCGCATTCAGAGAAACTTCCTTGGTAACAAACTACAGAAATGATCCCTGAAAATGTAGTCTTTCTTCCTTTACTTCAAATGGTAAAGCTGTAGATGTGTTATTCCTTACTGGCCTTTGTACCTAAAGAAGGAACAGCCAGATTGGGGGCGGGGGCGGGTAGGGTAGCCCAGGTCTAAATGAAAATGGGGTCTCAGTAAGCAACCCAAGGTGACCACCATCCCGTCAGGCAGCTAGGAAGACGCCTGCTTCCATATGTGGGTACGGGAGGGAGACCTAGAGTAAGAACTGATACTGAGACAAAACAAAAGTAGCTGTTGGCCAGTTCGTATTTCACATTTGCTATTTGTAGAGGAGTGTTGTCTTTTTAAATATTTAGGGGCACTGGGGTGACTCTGTTGGTTAAGCCTCTGCCTTCGGCTCAGTCACGCTCCTGAGGATGGATGGAGCCCCGCATCGAGCTCCCTGCTCAGCGGGGAGGCTGCCCCTCCCCACCCAGCTCCTGCTCTCTCTAGTTCTCTCTCAAGTAAATAAATTAAATCTTAAAAAAAAATAGTTAATGTCATGCCATTTCAGTGATAACAATATGGAGCGTTATATACGTGTTTTTATCTGTTCACTTGTATTACAAGCTGTTGGGCCGGAAGAGGCTTTTAATCAACTCATACTCTCTACAGTGGAAAGCTGACGCTCAGCAGTCACCCAAAACGTGTGTAAGGCGCTGCTGGGAAATAATAGGACATTTCTCCTTGCTTTTTTCCCTGCCTTCCTTATTTGGAATGCAGAGTAGCTTGGAGTAGGGGGTAGATGCGAGCTAGCAAGAACTGGGAGAAAGAGGAGTGGCAGGGGGCCCTGGAAAGCCAGGTGGGGCTGTGTTGCCATCTTCCTGAGTTCTCCTGCATCCAGTGAGGTCTTTGCAACCGAGTCTTCCTGTCCACCTCATTTCCTGTCCTCGTTCTGAAAGATACTTGGACAGCATGTAGATGGCCAACCATAATCTCCTCGCAATTCCTTGACCTCACCTCCAAACAGTGACCTTTACCTTCACGCCTCTGTAGCCATAAACTCCCATGACCGTAGCCTGGCTGCCATGTCCACCACGTCTGAGATCCAAGATTCTAGAGATCCAAACTTCTGCTCTGTGATCACAGCCTCCTCACATGGCCACTCTCATGCTCTCACTTCCACTAAACCTGTTCTGTTTTCAGATTTGAAGGATGGTTATTTTATCAGTCCTTATATAAAAAACTGCAGGAGTTTACGGATGATAATACTCTTTAATGGCTGCTCGCTCCGTGTTACGTGCCATGGAAGGCACTTCGTGGGTATGACCTAGTCAAAACAAGATGACAGTCCTATGAGATCGGTCTGTTCCCATTCTCATCTCACAGATGAGAATTGAAGGCTCTGAGAGCATAAGTTTCCTAAGATCCCATAGCCAGGAAGTGATGAAGCCAAAAATCTGACTATAGAACTAGGCTGAATTGCTTCTCCTATGGGATTAAAAAAAAAAAATCTATTATTGAGAACAGGTAGCAATTTCATTTTGAGAAACCAAGTAAAAGGTGCTGTAAAGACACATAGAGGACTCCCTGTAGCAAATGTGTCGTCACCTTTCCACATATTTTCTGAAATATTTGTCCTTAGATACTAACCCTAAACCATTTTAACAGCTGGTTCAAATTGTGCACTTTGCTTCATCTTTAAGACTGCAAATCATGATGTCATTAGTACCAAATAAACATGTGCTCTTTAATGTTGGCTGCTTTCATATTGAACTACTTACAAAAGTGATACACTGTGCTTTCTCTAGTCTCTTTATTTTCTTGTAGTATTTTAGCAGCAAATACAGTGTTTTAATGTTAGTACTAAGAACCATATTGGAATTTCGGAGAGTCTTACTCTGTTTTGTTTTGTGTTTGTGCAGATTATCAACTGTAATAAAATAGTAAAATGTAAAATGTTTCCACTGTAATAATTACTGACATTTGGAGGTGTAATTCTACCGCGTAAGAGAAATTGAAAAGCTTTTTAAACACTAGCTTGTCTCCACCCTTTTGGAATCCTTAGCACTGTGGGTCACCTCCTTTTCTTAAGGAAAAAGCTTCCCTTTTTTATTTCCTTGATGTTTTACTCTGCTGCTGCTTTACCTCTCTGACTACTCTGTTTTTTAAGATTTTTAAAATGATTTTATTTATTTATTTGTAAGAGAGAGAGAGCACAAGCAGGGGGAGTGGCAGGCAGAGGGAGAAGCAGGCCCCCTGCTGAGCAGGGAGCCCACTTCGGGGCTCTATCCCAGGAACCTGGGACCTGAGCCGAAGGCAGATGCTTCATCGACCGAGCTACCCAGACATCCCTGACTACTCCATTGTTTTGCTCAGTTTTAACAAAGCACGGTCTATTACACTTGAGCTTTTAGTATCTGATATTCCTCCAGGAAAACAAAAAACATCACTTACGGTGAACTAAACCTGCTTCTCCACTTCATAGATCCTTGATCCTCCTGTTTTCTCCCAGTACTGCCATTCTGTCACTACCCGTCTTCTTTCTGACCCAGCTAGATCCTGTGGTTGGGGCTCTGAAGTCCTCTCAGCTTCAACCCTTCTGACTTTGAGTTTGCTTTTTCTTTATTTAAAAAAAGTAGGCTCTATGCTCAATGTGGGGCTTGAACTCATGATCCTGAGATCAAGGGTCACACATTCTACCAACTGAGCCAGCCAGGTGCTCCTGACCTTGAGTTTTTTACCTTAAAGTCTTTGAATCATTTTAGATGTACAGAAAAGTTCCAGAGATAGTTCAGAAAGTTCCTATATACTCTCCACTCAGATTCCCTAGTATTAACATCTTATATAATGCTGTGGGCTGAATTGTATCCTCTCCAAAATTCCTGTGTTGAAGCCCTAATCCCCAGTGCAGTGGGATCTGGAGATGGGCCTTTGGGAAGTAATTAGGTTTAGATGATGTCATGAGATGGGACCCTCATGATGGGATTATTGCCCTTAGAAGAAGAGACCAGAGAGCTCTCTCTACCACATGAAGACACAGCAAGAAGGTGGCCATCTGCAAGCCAGAAAAAGCTCCACCGGGAACTGAACCGGCTGGCACCTGGACCTTGGACTTCCAGTCTCCAGAACTGTGAGAAATAAATGTCTGTTGTTTATGCCACTTGGTCTATGGTATTTGGTTGTAGCAGCCCAGGCAGACTAATACATACGAAACCATAGCACAGTACTCAAAACTAAGAAGTTAACATTGATACGGTGGTCTAAAAGCGACACGCTTTATCTGGATTTCACCAGCTGTTCCACTGTCCTCTTTCTGGCCGAGGACCCCATTCACGATCGCGCACTGCATTTAGCTGCTGTGTCTCTCTAGTCTCCTCTGATTCATGACGGTTTCTCAGTGGTATCTTGTGCTTTCGACTTTGCGTCTCCCTAATGATAGCTGATGTCTTTGCAGCCCTGCTTTCAAATCTTTGGGTAAATACCCAGAAGTGGGATTTCTGGATCATATGGTTAATTCTCTGAGTAATTTTTAAGAAAGATTTTATTTATTTATCTATTAGAGACAAGTGGGAGGGAGGGGCAGAGGCAGAGGGAGAAGCAGGCTCCCAGGACCCTGGATCATGACCTGAGCCGAAGGCAGAGGCTTTAACCCGCTGAGCCACCCAGGTGCCCCACAATGATTGATGTTGAGTAACTTTTCATATGATTCTAGGCCATTTGTATAGTCCCTTTAGAGAGAGGTCTGGTCATTTTAATTGGATTATTTGATTTGTTATTGTCATGAACATATTTTTTTTTGAAGATTTTTATTTATTTGTCAGGGAGAGAGAGAGCGAGAGCGAGCACAGGCTCGCTCACAGGCAGAGTGGCAGGCAGAAGCAGAGGGAGAAGCAGGCTCCCCGCCGAGCAAGGAGCCCGATGTGGGACTCAATCCCAGGATGCTGGGATCATGACCTGAGCTGAAGGCAGCTGCTTAACCAACTGAGCCACCCAGGCATCCCGAACATATTTTTATTAGCTGATTTTTCATCCATATGTCTTCTTTGAAGAAGCATCTGTTCAGATCTTTTGCCCATTTTTAACTGTGTGTGTTTGTTTTTATTGTTGGGTTTTAAGAGCTCTTTGTATAGCCTGGATATGTATCTTTTATCAGACACATGTGATTTGCAACATCTCCTAGGGTGGGGGTTGTCTTTTTATTCTCTTAATAGTGTAGTAGCTTTCATGACCCAGGATTGTGCAGATTTTCTTCTGTAAGTTTTATATTTTACATTTAGGTCTGTGATCCATTTTGAATTAATTTTTTTAAAGATTTATTTTTATTTTAGAGAGAGAGAGAGCCAGGAGAGGGAGAGAATCTCAAGCAGACTCCCCACTGAGCACAAAGCCTGACGTGGGACTCAAGCTCATGACCCTGAGACCATGACCTGAGCCAAAAATCAAAAGTTGGACGCTCAACCAACTGAGCCAGCCAGGTGCCCCCATTTTGGATTAATTTTTGTGTATGGTGTGATGCATGTGTAGAGGTTCATTTTTTAAAATTTGCATAGACATCCTGTTTTTCCAGCACCATCTGCTGAAAAGACTCCTTTCTCCATTCAGTTGCCTTTGTGCCTTTGTCAAAAGTCAATTGACTGTATATTTTTTAAAGATTTTGTTTATTTATTTGACAGAGAGAACACAAGTAAGCAGAGCTGCAGGCAGAGAGAGAGGGAGAAGCAGGTTCTCTGCTGAGCAGGGAGCCCAGTGCAGGGCTCGATCCCAGGACCCTGGGATCATGACCTGAGCCAAAGACAGACGCTTAATCAACTGAGCCACCCAGGCGCCCCATCAGTTAATTGTATTTTTGGACTATCTCTTTTGTCTGTTGTCTATGCTTGTGCTAATGCCACACTATCTTGACTCGATCAGTATAGCTTTGTAGTGAGTCTTGAAATTGGGTAGGATGACTTGTCCAACTTTGCTCTTTATAAGAATTACTTTGGTTATTCTAGTTCCTTTGCCTTTCCGTATACATTTTAGAATCGGCTTGCTGGGATCTCCGAAATTCTTGCTGGACTTTTTATTGGAATTGTGTACAAACTAAAGATCAAGTTGGGGAGAATTGACATCTTAATAATACTGCATTTTCTAACCCATGAACACAGTTATCTCTTCCTTTATTTAATCTTTGATTTCTTTCATCAGCGTTTTGTAGTTTTTCTTGTACAGATCAGGCAAGTATTTTGTTTAAATTTATACCTAAGTACTTGGTCTTTTTCTGGTACTATTGTAAACCTTACCTCTTTTTAAAAAAAATTGTTTTAATTTTGATTTATTTTTTAAGTAATCTCTACACCCAGCGTGGGGCTCAAACTCACAACCTCGAGACTCAGAGTCACATGCTCTACCGACTGAGCTAG